GCCTGGCCGCTCGCCTGGCTGCTCGCCTGGCCGATCGCATGGCTGCTCGCCGGGCCGCTCGCCTGGCCGCTTGCCTGGCAGTTCGCCTGGCCGCTCGCCTTGCCGTTCGCCTGGCTGCTCGCCTGGCCGCTTTACTTTGAGCGCAGGCTTTGAGCGCCGGCTCTGAGCGGCGGCACTGAGCGCCGGCTCTGAGCGCCGGCTCTGAGCGGCGGCTCTGAGCGTCGGCTCTGAGCGCTGGCTCTGAGCGCTGGTTCTGAGCGCCTGCTCTTAGCGGCAGCTTTGAGCGCCGGCTCGCCAGGCCGATCGCCTGGCCGCTCACTTTGCCGCTCGCCTGGCCGTTAGGCTTTGAGCGCCGGCTTTGAGCACTGGATTTGAGCGCAGGCTCTGAACATCGGCCTTGAGCGCCGGCTTTGAGCGCCGGCTCGCCTGGCCGCTCGCATTGCCGCTCGCCTGGCCCTTCGCCTGGCCGCTCGCCTGGCCGCTCGCCGGGCCGCTCGCCTGGCCGCTCGCCTGGCCGCTCGCCTGGCCGCATGCCTGGCCGCTCGCCTGGCCGTTCGCATGGCCGCTCGCCTGGCCGCTCGACTGGCCGCTCGCCTGGCCGCTCGCCTGGCCTCTCGCCTGGCCGCTCGCCTGGACGCTCACCTGGCCGCTCGCCTGGCTGTTTGCCTGGCCGCTCAGCTTTGAGCGCCGGCTTTGAGCGCCGGCTGGCCTGGCCGCGCGCCTGGCCGCTCGCCTGGCCGCTTTGATTTGAGCGCCGGCTCTGAAGGCCGGCTGTGAGCGCCGGCTGTGACCGCCGGCTCTGAGCGCCGGCTCGCCTGGCCGCTCGCATTGCCGCCCGCCTGCCCGCTCGCATTGCCGCTCGCCTGGCCGCTCGCCTGTCCGCTCGCCCTGCCGCTCGCCTGGCCGCTCGCCTGGCCGCTCGCCTTGCCGCTCGGCTGGCCGTTAGGCATTGAGCGCCGGCTTTGAGCACTGGACTTGAGCGACGGCTCTGAGCGCCGGCTCTGAGCACGGGCCCTGAGCGCCGGCTCTGAGCGCGGGCTTTGAGCGCCGGATCGCCTGGCCGCTCGCCTTGCCGCTCGCCTGGTCGCTCGCCTAGTCGTTCACCTGGCCACTCGGCTGGCCGCTCGTCTTTGATCGCCGGCTCTGAGCGCCGGCTCTGAACGCCGACTCTGAGCGCCGGACCTGAGCGCTGGCTCTGAGCGCCGGGCCGCCTGGCCGCTCGCAATGCCGCTCCCCTGGCCGCTCGCCTGGCCGCTCGCATGGTCGCTCGCCTGGCCGCTCGCCTGGCCGCTCGCCTGGCCGCTCGCCTGGCCAATCGCCTGGCTGCTCGCCTGGCTGCTCGCCTGGCTGCTCGCCTGGCAGCTCGCCTTGCCACTCGGCTTGCCGTTAGGCTTTGAGCGCCGGCTTTGAGCACCGGATTTGTGAGCAGGCTCTGTGCGCCGGCTCTGAGTGCCGGCTCGCCTGGCCGCTCGCCTGGCCGCTCGCCTGGTCGCTCGCCTGGACGCTCGCCTGGACGCTCACCTGGCCGCTTGCCTGGCCGCTTGCCTGGCCGCTCGCCTGGCCGCTCGCCTCGCCGCTCGTCTTTGAGCGCCGGCTTTGAGCGCCTTCTCTGAGCGGCGGCACTGAGCGCCGGCTCTGAGCGCCGGCTCTGAGTGCCGGCTCTGAGCGCCGGGTCTGAACGCCTGATCTTAGCGCCGGTTTTGGGCGCCGGCTCGCCAGGCCGCTCGCCTGGCCGCTCGCCTGGACGCTCGTCTTTCCGCTCGCCTGGCCGCTCGCCTGGCCGCTCGCCTGGCCGCTCACCTGGCCGCTCGCCTGGTTGCTCGCCTGGCCGCTCGGCTCGGCTTTGAGCGCCGGCTTTGAGCGCCGGCTCGCCTGGCCGCTCGCCTGGCCGCTCGCCTGGCCGCTCGCCTGGCCCCTTGGCTTCGAGCGCCGGCTCTGAAGGCCGGCTTTGAGCGCCGGCTGTGAGCGCCGACTCTGAGCGCCGGCTTTGTGCGCCTGCTCTGAGCGCCGGCTCGCATGGCCGCTCATATTGCCGCTCGCCTGGCCCCTTGGCTTCGAGCACCAGCTCTGAAGGCCGGCTGTGAGCGCCGGCTGTGAGCGCCGGCTTTGAGCGCCGGCTTTGTGCGCCTGCTCTGAGCGCCGGCACGCCTGGCCGCTCATATTGCCGCTCGCCTGGCCGCTCGCCTGGCCACTCGCCTGGCCGCTCGCCTGGCCGCCTGCCTGGCTGCTCGCCTGGCCTATCGCCTTGCCGCTCAGCTGGCCGTTAGGCTGTAAGCGCCAGCTTCGACCACAGGATTTGAGCGCAGGCTCTGAGTGCCGGCTCTGAGATCCGGCTTTAAGCGCTGACTCTGAGCGCCGTCTCTAAGCGCCGGCTCGGAGCGCCTGGCCGCTCGACTGGTCGCTCGCCTGGCCACTCGCCTGGCCGCTCCCCTGGCCGTTGGCTGCTCGCGTGGCCGCTAGCCTGGCCGCTCGCCTGGTTACTCGCCTGGCCGCTCATCTCGCCGCTCGCCTGGGCGCTCGCCTGGCCTCTCGCTTGGCCGCTCGCCAGGCCGCTCGGCTGGGCGTTCGGCTTTGAGCGCCACCTTTTAGCGCCGGCTCGCTTCGCCGCTCGCCTGGCCGCTCGCCTGGCTGCTCGCCTAGCCGCTCGCCTGGCCGCTCGCCTTTCCGTTCGCCTGGCCGCTCGCCATTCCGCTCGGCTGGCCGTTAGGCTTTGACAGCCGGCTTTGAGCGCCGGCTCGCCTGGCCGCGCGATTGGCCGCTCGCCTGGCCGCTCGCCTGGCCGCTCGCCTGGCCGCTTGGCTTTGATCGCCGGCTCTGAAGGCCGGCTGTGAGCGCCGGCTTTGAGCGCCGGCTCCTAGCGCCTGCTCTGAGCGCCGGCTCACCTGGCCGCTCGCATAACCGCCTGCCTGCCCGCTCGCATTGCCGCTCGCCTGGCCGCTCGCCTTGCCGCTCGCCTGGCCACTCGCCTGGCCGCTCGCCTTGCCGCTCGGCTGGCCGTTAGGCTTTGACCGCCGGCTTTGAGCACTGGACTTGAGCGCAGGCTCTGAGTACCAACCCTAAGCGCCGGCTCTGAGCGCCGGCTCGCCTGGCCGCTCGCCTGGCCGCTCGCCTGGCCGCTCGCCGGGCCGCTCGCCTGGCCGCTCGCCTGGCCGCTCGCCTGGCCGCTCGCCTGGCCGCTCGCCTGGCCGCTCGCCTGGCCGCTCGCCTGGCCGCTCGCCTGGCAGCTCGCCTGGCTGCTCGCCTGGCCGCTCGCCTGGCCGCTTGCCTGGTCGCTCGCCTGGTCGTTTGCCTGGCCGCTCGGCTGGCCGCTCGTCTTCGAGCGCCGGCTCTGAACGCCGGCTCTGAGCGCCGGACCTGAGCGCTGGCTCTGGGCGCCGGCCCGCCTGGCCGCACGCCTGGCCGCTTGCCTGGCCGCTCGCATGGTCGCTCGCCTGGCCTCTCGCCTGGCCGCTCGCCTGGCCTCTCGCCTGGCCTCTCGCCTGGCCGCTCGCCTAGCTGCTCGCCTTGCCACTCGGCTGGCCGTTAGGCTTTGAGCGCCGGCTTTGAGCACCGGATTTGAGCGCAAGCTCTGTGCGCCGGCTCTGAGCGCCGGCTCTGAGCGCCGGCTCCCCTGGCCGCTCGCCTGGCCGCTCGCCTGGTCGCTCGCCTGGACGCTGGCCCGGACGCTGGCCTAGACGCTCGCCTCCCTGCTCGCCTGGCCGCTCGCCTAGCCGCTCGCCTGGCCGCTCGGCTGGCCGCTCGTCTTTGAGCACCGGCTTTGAGCGCCGGCTCTGAGCCGCGGCACTGAGCACCGGCTCTGAGCGGCGGCTCTGAGCCTCGGCTCTGAGCGCCGACTTTGAGCGCCGGCTCTGAGCGCCGGGTCTGAGCGCCTGCTCTTAGCGCCGGCTCGCCTGGCCGCTCGCCTGGCAGCTCGCCTGACCGCTCGCCTGGTCGCTCGCCTGTCCGCTCGCCTGTACGCTCGCCTGGACGCTCGCCTGGACGCTCGACTGGTCGCTTGCCTGGCAGCTCGCCTGGCCGCTCGCCTGGTCGCTCGCCTGGCCGCTCGCCTGGCTGTTCGCCTGGCCTGGCCCGGCTGGCCGCTCGGCTTTGAGCGCCGGCTTAGAGCCCCGGCTCTGAGCGCCGCCTCGCCTGGCCGCGCGCCTGGCCGCTCGCCTGGCCGCTCGCCTGGCCGCTTGGCTTTGAGCGCTGGCTCTGAAGGCCGGCTGTGAGCGCCGGCTCTGAGCGCCGGCTCTGAGCGCCGGCTCTGAGCGCCGGCTCTGTGCGCCTGCTCTGAGCGCCGGCTCGCCTGGCCGCTCGCCTGGCTTGCCTGGCCACCCGCCTGGCCGCTCGGCTGGCCGTTAGGCTTTAAGCGCCGGCTTTGAGCATTAGATTTGAGCGCAGGCTCTGAGCACCGGCCCTGAGCGCCGGCTCTGAGCGCCGACTTTGAGCGCCGGCTCGCCTGGCCGCTCGCCTTGCCGCTCGCCTGGCCGCTCGCTTGGCCGCTCGCCTGGCCGCATGGCTGCTCGCCGGGCCGCTCGCCTGGCCGCTCGCCTGGCCGCTCGCCTTGTCACTCGGCTGGCCGTTAGGCTTTGAGCGCCGGCTTTGAGCACTGGATTTGAGCGCAGGCTCTGAGCACCGGCCCTGAGCGCCGGCTCTGACCGCCGGCTTTGAGCGCCGGCTCGCCTGGCCGATCGCCTTGCCGCTCGCCTGGCCGCTCGCCTGGCTGCTCGCCTGGCCGATCGCATGGCTGCTCGCCGGGCCGCTCGCCTGGCCGCTTGCCTGGCCGGCTTTGAGCGCCGGCTCGCCTGGCCGCTCGCATTGCCGCTCGCCTGGCCCTTCGCCTGGCCGCTCGCCTGGCCGCTCGCCGGGCCGCTCGCCTGGCCGCTCGCCTGGCCGCTCGCCTGGCCGCATGCCTGGCCGCTCGCCTGGCCGTTCGCATGGCCGCTCGCCTGGCCGCTCGACTGGCCGCTCGCCTGGCCGCTCGCCTGGCCTCTCGCCTGGCCGCTCGCCTGGACGCTCACCTGGCCGCTCGCCTGGCTGTTTGCCTGGCCGCTCAGCTTTGAGCGCCGGCTTTGAGCGCCGGCTGGCCTGGCCGCGCGCCTGGCCGCTCGCCTGGCCGCTTTGATTTGAGCGCCGGCTCTGAAGGCCGGCTGTGAGCGCCGGCTGTGACTGCCGGCTCTGAGCACCGGCTCGCCTGGCCGCTCGCATTGCCGCCCGCCTGCCCGCTCGCATTGCCGCTCGCCTGGCCGCTCGCCTGTCCGCTCGCCCTGCCGCTCGCCTGGCCGCTCGCCTTGCCGCTCGGCTGGCCGTTAGGCATTGAGCGCCGGCTTTGAGCACTGGACTTGAGCGACGGCTCTGAGCGCCGGCTCTGAGCACGGGCCCTGAGCGCCGGCTCTGAGCACGGGCTTTGAGCGCCGGATCGCCTGGCCGCTCGCCTTGCCGCTCGCCTGGTCGCTCGCCTAGTCGTTCACCTGGCCACTCGGCTGGCCGCTCGTCTTTGATCGCCGGCTCTGAGCGCCGGCTCTGAACGCCGACTCTGAGCGCCGGACCTGAGCGCTGGCTCTGAGCGCCGGGCCGCCTGGCCGCTCGCAATGCCGCTCCCCTGGCCGCTCGCCTGGCCGCTCGCATGGTCGCTCGCCTGGCCGCTCGCATGGCCGCTCGCCTGGCCGCTCGCCTGGCCGCTCGCCTGGCAGCTCGCCTGGCCATTCGGCTGGCCGCTCGTCTTTGAGCGCCGGCTTTGAGCGCCGGCTCTGAGCGGCGGCACTGAGCGCCGCTCTGAGCGCCGGCTCGCCTGGCCGCTCGCCTGGCCACTCGCCTGGCCGCTCGTTTGGCCGCTCGCTTGACCGCTCGCCTGGCCGCTCGCCTGGCCGCTCGCCTGGCCACTTCGCTGGCCGCTCGCCTTTGAGCGCCGGCTTTGAGCGCCGGCTCTGAGCGGCGGCACCGAGGGCCGGCTCTGATCACCGGCTTGAGCGCCGGCCCTGAGCGCTGGCTCTGAGCGCTAGATCTGAGCGCTGCCTTTGACCGCCGGCTCGCCTGGCCGCTCGCCTTGCCGCTCTCGCCTGGCCGCTCGCCTGGCCGCTCGTCTGGCCGCTCGCCTGGCCGCTCACCTGTCCGCTCGCCTGGCCGCTCGCCTTGCCCCTCGGTGGGCCGTTAGGCTTTGATCGCCGGCTTTGAGCACTGAATTTGAGCACAGGCTCTGAGCGCCGGGTCTAAGCGCCGGCCCTGAGCGCCTGCTCTGAGCGCTGGCTCGCATTGCCGCTCGCCTGGCAGCTCCCCTGGCCTCTCGCCTGGCCGCTTGCCTGGCCGCTCGCCTGGCCGCTCGCCTCGCCGGTCGCCTGGCCGCTCGCCTGGCCGCTCGCCTGGCCGCTTTGTCTTTGAGCGCCGGCTCTGAGCGCAGGCTCTGAGCGACGGTTCTGAGCGCAGGGTTTGAGCACCGACTCTGAGCGCTGGCTCTGAGCGCTGGCTCTGAGCGCCTGCTCTGAGCGCCGGCTCTGAGTGCCGGGCCTGTGCGCCGGCCCTGAGCGACGGCCCGCCTGGCCGCTCGCAATACCGCTCGCCTGGCAGCTCGCCTGACCGCTTGGGCGGCTTGAGCGCCGGCTCTGGGTGCCGGCTCAGAGCGTCGGCCCTGGCCACTCGTCTGGCCGCTCGCCTGTCCACTCGACTGACCGCTCGGCTTTGAGCGCCGGTTCTGGGCGTCGGTTCTGAGTGCGGCTTGAGCGCCGGCTCTGAGCGCCAGCTCTGAGCGCCGGCTCTGAACGCCGGCCCTGAGCGTCGGCTGTCAGCGCCGGTTGTGAGCGCCAGCTCTAAGCGCCTGCTCTGAGCGCCGGCTCCGAGCGCCGGCTCTGAGCGCCTGCTCTGAGCGCCGGCTCTGAGTGCCGGGCCTGAGCGCCGGCCCTGAGCGCCGGCCCGCTTGGCCGCTCGCAATACCGCTCGCCTGGCAGCTCGCCTGACCGCTTGAGCGGCTTGAACGCCGGCTCTGAGCGCCGGCCCTGGCCATTCGTCTGGCCGCTCGCCTGTCCACTCGACTGACCGCTCGGCTTTGAGCGCCAGCTCTGGGCGTCGGTTCTGAGTGCCAGTTTTGAGCGCCGGCTCTGAATGCCGGCTCTGAGCGTCGGCTGTCAGCGCCGGTTGTGAGCGCCAGCTCTAAGCGCCTGCTGTGAGCGCCCGCTCCGAGCGCCGGCTCTGAGCGCCGGGTCGCTTGGCCGCTCGCCTGGCCACTCGCCTGGCCACTCGCCTGGCCGCTCGCCTGGCCGCTCGCCTGGCCGCTCGCCTGGCCGCTCGCCTGGCCACTCGGCTGGCCGCTCGTCTTTGAGCGCCGGCTTTGAGCGCCGGCCCTGAGCGGCAGCACTGAGGGCCGGCTCTGATCACCGGCTCTGAGCGCCGGCCCTGAGCGCTGGCTTTGAGCACCGCATTTGAGCGCAGGCTCTGAGCGCCGGCTTTGAGCGCTGACTCTGAGCGCCGGTTCTAAGCGCCGACTCTGAGCGCCGGCTCGCCTGGCCGCCCGCCTGACCGCTCGCCTGGTCGCTCGACTGGCCGCTCCCCTGGCCGCTCGCCTGGCCGCCCGCCTGGCCGCTCGCGTGCCGGCTCGCCTGGTCGCTCACCTGGCCGCTCAGCTGGGCGTTCGGCTTTGAGCGCCGACTGTGAGCGCCGGCTGTGAGCGCCGGCTCGCCTGGCCGCTCGCCTGGTCGCTCGCATTGCCCCTCGCCCTGCCGCTCGCCTGGCCGCTCGCCTGGCCGCTCGCCTGGCTGTTCGCCTTGCCGCTCGCCTGGCCGTTCCCCTGGCCGCTCGCATTGCCCCTCGTCGGGCCGTTAGGCTTTGATCGCCGGCTTTGAGGCACTGGATTTGAGCACAGGCTCTGAGCGCCGCCTCTGAGCGCCGGGTCTAAGCGCCGGCCCTGAGCGCCGGCTCGCATTGCCGCTCGCCTGGCCGCTCGCCTGGCCGCTCGCCTGGCCTCTCGCCTGGCCGCTCGCCCGGCCGCTTGCCTGGCCGCTCGCTTGGCCGCTCGCCTGGCCGCTCGCCTGGCCGCTCGCCTGGTCGCTGGGCTGGCCGCTTTGTCTTTGAGCGCCGGCTTTGAGTGCCGGCTCTGAGCGCCGGCTCTGAGCGACGGTTCTGAGCGCAGGGTTTGAGCACCGACTCTGAGCGCTGGCTCTGAGCGCCGGCTCTGAGCGCCGGCTCTGAGTGCCGGCTCTGAGCGCCGGCTCTGAGCGCCTGCTCTTAGCGCCGGCTCTTAGCGCCGGCTCTGAGTGCGGGGCCTGAGCGCCGGCCCGCCTGGCCGCTCGCAATACCGCCCCGCCTGGCCGCTCGCCTGGCCGCTCGCCTGGCCGCTTATCTGGTCGCTCGCCTGGCCCCTCGCCTGGCCGCTCGCCTTGCTGCTTGCCTGGCCGCTCACCTGGCCGCTCGCCTGGCCGCTCGCCTGGCCGCTCACCTGGCCGCAAGCCTTGCCGCTCGGCTGGCCGTTCGCCTTTGAATGCCGGCTTTGAGCACTGGATTTTAGCGCAGGCTCGGAGCGCCGCCTCTGAGCGCCGGGACTAAGCGCCGGCCCTGAGCGCCGGCTCACATTGCCGCTCGCCTGGCTCTGAGTGCCGGCTCTATGCGCCGGCTCTGAGCGCCCGCCCGCCTGGCCGCTCGCCTGGCTGCTCGCCTGGCCGCTCGCCTGGCCGCGCGCCTGGTCTCTCGCTTGCGCCGCTCGCCTGAGCGTTCGGCTTTGCGCGCCGGCTCTTAGCGCCGGCTCTGAGCGCCGGCTCTGAGCGCCGGCTCTGAGCGCCGTCTCTGATCGCCGGCTCGCCTGGCCGCTTGCCTGGCCGCTCGCCTGGCCGATCGCCTGGCCGATCTCCTGGCCGCTTTCCTGACCGCTCGCCTTGCCGCTCGGTAGGCCATTAGGCTTTGAGCGCCGGCTTTGGGCACCGGATTTGAGCGCAGGCTCTAAGCGCCGGCTCTGAGCGCCGGCTCTGAACGCCGGCTCTGAACGCCGGCTCGCCTGGCCGCTCGCCTTGCCGCTCGCCTGGCTGTTCGCCTGGCTGCTGGGCTGGACGCTCGGCTCGCTGCTCGGCTTTGAGCTCCTGCTTTGAGCGCCGGCTTTAAGCGCCGGCTCTGAGCGCCGTCTCTGAGCGCCGGCTCTGAGCGACAGCTCTGAGCACCGGCTCGCCTGGCCGCTCGCCTGGCCTCTCGTCTGGCCGCTCGCCTGGCCGCTCGCCTGGCCGCTCGCCTGGCCGCTCGCCTGGCCGCTCGCCTGGCCGCTCGCCTGGCCGCTCGCCTGACCGCTCGCCTGGCCGCTCGCATGGCCGCTCGCCTGGCCGCTGGCCTGGCCACTCGCCTGGCCGCTCGCCTGGCCGCTCGCCTTGCCGCTCGCCTGGCCGCTCGGCTTTGAGCAACGGCTCTGGTCGCCAGCTCTGAGCGCCGGCTATAAGTGCCGGCTCTGAGCGCCGGCTCTGAGCGCCGGCTCTGAGCGCCGGCTCGCCTGGCCCCTCGCCTGGCCGCTCGCCTAGCCTCCCGCCTGGCCGCTCGCCTGGCCGCTCGCCTGGTCGCTCGCCTGGCCGCTCGCCTGGCTGCTCGCCTGGTCGCTCGCCTGGCCGCTTGCCTTGGCACTCGTCTGGCCGCTCTCCTTGTCGCTTGCCTGGCCGTTCGCCTGGCTGCTCCGCTGGCCGCTTGGCTGGCTGCTCGGCTTTGAACTCCGGCTTTGAGCGCCGGCTTTAAACGCCGGCTCCGAGCGCCAGCTCTGAGCACCGGCTCGCTGGGCCGCTCGCCTGGCCTCTCGTCTGGCCGCTCGCCTGGTCGCTTGCCCGGCGGCACGCCTGGCCGGTCGCTTGGCCGCTCGCCTGGCCGCACGCCCAGCCGCTCGCCCGGCTGCTCGCCTGGCCGCTCGCCTGACTGCTCGCCTGGCCGCTCGCCTGGCTGGTCGCCTGGGCGCTTGCCTGGCCGCTCGCCTTGCCGTTCGCCTGGGCGCTCGCCTCGCCGCTCGGCTTTGAGCAACGGATCTGAGCGCCGGCTCTGAGCGCCGGCTCTGAGCGCCGGCTCTGAGCGCCGCCTCTGAGCGCCGGCTCGCCTGGCCGTGGACCTTGCCGCCCGCCTGGCCGCTCGCCTGGTCGCTCGCCTGGCCGCTCTCCTGGCCGCTCGCCTGACCGCTCGCCTGGCCGCTCTGCTGACCGCTCGGAGACGGGAAAACTGTATGCAGTCATGCATAAGCCATATAGGAACTACTTAGCTGCAAATGGGACGTGTAATCTGTATGCAGTCTCGAAAGAGTTATAATAGGAAACATTCACCAGCGAACAAGACAAAAACCTGTATGAGGTCAAGAAAGAGCAATATAGGATACTTACATGCGAACAAGACAAGGCACCTGTAGACACTCATGAAAGATCAATGAGGGTAACTCACCTGGGAACAAGCCATGAAACTTGTATGTAGCCATCAAATATGAAAATAGGAAACCTCTGCCTGCACAGAAAAAAAACACTTGTATGCAGTCAAGAAAACACAATAATTATAGGAAGCTTACGTTTGAACATGACGGGGACCTGTAAGAAGTTGTGAAGGAGTAATAGTTATACAACTAATACTTATAGGAACCTTCTCTCCCAAACAGGCGAAATACCTGTATGCAGTAACAAGAGAGCATGTTGAAAACTGAACTTAAAACAAGACCGGACAACGGTATGCAGTCAAAAAAAGAGCTGTTAGGCCATAGTAAAAAATATCTTTGATTCTCAAGTAGGCGCGCATCGATTTTTGGTGGCGCACCGACGATTTATTTTATTTCTACGAGTCGTATGCATGCATATGCGTGCATGAAAACGGTCAATGCGAAAGGCATGAATCCGGGAGTAGTAAAATACCGGTATTTTTCTACTCCCTGGCCTGAATAATAAAATAATTATAAGGCCAAAACAAAAAATAGGCTTGTTTCCGGTCGGCAACCCCTCAAAAAGGAGACTCGGTCAGCCGGAATGAAACTTTTTTTGGATACTTTTTTTTTGGTTCCTCAATCGTTGTGCCAACTTGTGGTATTGATGGTCAAGATCACCTACACATGTAAATTGTACATATATCATGGCAAGGATCAATGTCAAAGTTGACTGACTCACTGTTCTTGTACAGCACGTGGTGTATTCCTGTTTTCGTACATACTGAGAAATCAAGCAAACAGTTCGAGTCTTTCCAGCTCCGTTATTCTAGCTCGTATCGACCCCGGAGGTTTTCGAGCCGACAGCTGAGAATCTCTGCTACCTTGTAGGTGTTGCGATTGTGGAATTCGGTTGAGATTTGACTGAGTTATGACTCGTTGAGTGCACTTGCACACGTGGCATTGCCACCGTTTGTATACATTTGGGACCAAAAAAAAGTTTCAGAATTTGGGAAAAAGTGGCCCGGTCGGGCGACCGGAAACAAGGTCATTATTTGTTTTGGCCTAAATTAATAATGAACCTGTGACGTACACATGTGTGACCCTATCTTTGGAAATAAAAAAATTGTGGGAATTAAAATAAAAAATCGCTCGCTTGCACCGATTTTCACAGGCTCATGACCTGAGAATCAACTTTATTTTTTACCACGGCCTTATATACAGTCGACTTTGCTTATAAAGACCCTCGGCGCGGCGCGACATCAGGAACGTGTCCTACGCGAAGTGTCCTTACACCCGAAGTCTCATTATAATTATATATTCCAGCAGCACACGTAGTCCTCTTTTGACATTGTCCACGGACGTGTTGGCAATGTACAGTCATGTGTGTGGGTGCTTGACTCTGCGCAGCGCGTCGTGAAGCCCTACACCTGGGAACGCCAGACTGCGTAATGGTGCAAGGCGCAAATTTGCGTGCCATCCGCAAGAACAAAGAGAATAATGGACCTTCAGCGGAGAACAAAGCAGCTACCTGCACTGAGCTCCACATTCACAGTCGTCACGTTTAGCTGTGGATTCCTGCAGTGACACCTACCCTTCACTGTTCGTTCTCAGGCGGTAGAACGCACGTTATGGCAAGTATCCAGAACCATTGTCGACGTCACATACGAATCCAAAGTGCCACAGGAGTGATATTTGGTACAGCACTGTACTTGCACTTTCTATTATTAGCTATCTGCTATCTCAACCCTACAGCCTCCCATTATAATGGAACTACCTTCAATTTAGACTACGTCTTTGGGAAATCCCCATATATAATAATAATAGTAATAATTGTGGAAGAGAAAAGGACATATGGATACGAGTTAAGAGTAACTCTCCATCACTGTAACATGATACTATATACAGTCAGAAAGTGCAATAACTAGGCAAAAAACTGACAGAGTACTGAAACATTCGACGTCCTGACACCAGGACGTCGAATGTTTCAGTACTCTGTCAGTTTTGTGCCTAGTTATTGCACTTTCTGACTGTATATAGTATCATGTTACAGTGATGGAGAGTTACTCTTAACTCGTATCCATATGTCCTTTTCTCTTCCACATTTATTTATGGCTCAACATCCGAGTTTCAAATAATAATAATAATAATAATATTACTTTCTATCACTCCTTTTTCACGCTTTCCTCAGCCATTATTATTATTATTATTCTCGTATCCGTCCCGAATGGGACTCAAGACGGCAGAATTAACTGTGAGCATGTGTGTGTGAGAGTGGGAGAACGAAATGAAAAAGAAAAGAAAAGAAGAGCCTCATTTTCTCTGTGCTGCGCTGATGAGTTCAAAAAGAACGAAACAGCATGCTGTCCGCAGATTGAGTATTTCGCTCCTGCTCTTGTAGCAGTTGAGCACTCTTACGTGAGGTAGTGCCTTTGCTGTTTGCGTTATGCAGAGCTCACTGACTTGTCAGTTTGAGCACTCTGGCAAGGTACGTTCGGGCCTGATTGGAAATTTTTATTTCCATTGCTATCAGGTTCGGCCTCATTTTCTCTGTGCTGCGCTGATGAGTTCAAAAAGAACGAAACAGCATGCTGTCCGCAGATTGAGTATTTCGCTCCTGCTCTTGTAGCAGTTGAGCACTCTTACGTGGGGTAGTGCCTTTGCTGTTTGCGTTATGCAGAGCTCACTGACTTGTCAGTTTGAGCACTCTGGCAAGGTACGTTCGGGCCTGATTGGAAATTTTTATTTCCATTGCTATCAGGTTCGGCCTCATTTTCTCTGTGCTGCGCTGATGAGTTCAAAAAGAACGAAACAGCATGCTGTCCGCAGATTGAGTATATATATATATATATGTCCTAATAGCTTCCACCTGTCCCGCTTGGCCATTTCACATACAGAGCACTGGCCAGTAACAGCATATAAATCTGCATTTGAGATGACATCTGGGTAGGTAATTCCAAGGGTACACCGCAGCTGTTTCCTATGAAACACATCTAGGCGCTTTTGTTTTTTCCTCAGCCATAGTATCTCAGATGGAATCACCAGAGCTACTGCGCCCCCACACATCCACCACCAACTACTAGTGGCCAGTATTGACATCAACAAATGATAACTTACCTTACAACAAGACGGGGAATGTGTATGCAGGCCAACATGAGCTATTATAGGATCTTACCTGTCAAAAGGCGTAACATCTTTATGCAGTCTCGAAAGAGACAGCATTGGAAACATCTACCTGTAAACAAGACAAATATACCAGTATTAAGTCAAGCAAGAGTAATATGTGAAACCCTCTAGCTGCGAACCTGACAAGAAGCCTGTATTCAATGATATAGAAAGAGCAAAATAGGAAACTGTCCTGGCAACAACACAAGACACCAGTCCTGTATACAGTCATGAATGATCAATGAAGGGAACTTACCTGTGAGCAAGAGAAAAATCCTGTTTGGAGCCATGAAAATTAATAATATTGAAAATAGGAAACTTTTGCCTGCACACAAGACGAGACACTTGTATGCAGTTCGGAAATGCATAATAGGAAGCTCACCTGTGAACGTGACGAGAAATCTGCACGCAGTCAGGAAAGAGTATTATAGGAATCTCAACAGCGAAAAAGACGAAACCCCTGTAACTGAGAACATTACGAAAAACTGTGTGCATTCAAGAAAGAGCTGGAAAGAAAACGTACCTGTGAACAAGACGAGACACCTCCTATTTCCAGTCCAGAAAAAGCTGTATAGTAAACGTACCTGCGAGAAAAAACAAGAGACCTGTAGGCAGTCAGGAAAATACAATAATTATAAGAAGCTTACCTGTGAACAAGACGACAAGCCCGTGTGCAATCAAGAAAGAGTAAAATTGGAACCTTGTCCGCGAAAAAGGCTAGAAACCTGTATGCAGTAACGAAAGACCATACAGAAAACGTAACTGAGACCGAGACGGGAAAACTGTATGCAGTCAAGGAAGAGCAGTATAGGAAACTTACCTGCGAATAAGACAGAGAAATCCGTATGCAGTCTCGAAAGCGTCATAATTATACTGGTGGGAAACGTGTACCTGCAAACAAGAGAGCAGTATGAGTATTAATATGAGTGCTCTAGCTGATTCAAATGGGGGTAAAAACAAAAAACACACCTGGAACTGTAGCAGTATGGCGGTAAATACATACCTGCCCTCACACTCTCTCTAGGCTGCAAAGTTGTTCTAGCACAGAGCTCTCCTTCTCACCACCACCACCACCATCACACCATCAGTTCGCGCTTGGTGCCTAGTCGATGCATGGCTGGTGGTACCCGACATAGCAGGCTGGGCCATACCGCCAGGTGTGTGTTTTATCCACAGTTGAATCAACCATAAATACTGCTGCATTGGTGTCTTCAACTAACTGCATATCTCTTGAATACTCTACCTTCGAAAAAGACGAGAAACTAACTTGTCAGCAGTAAAGGAAACTAACTTCTACCTGCGAACAAGACAAGCAAACCTCCACCCGTATTCCATGCATGCATTACAGTCTATGCACAGTTGAGTCTCAGTGTACAGTATATACATCATAATCATTTGTATACTGAGGTTGGTGCTAGGCTGGTCGTTCTACCGCTAAATTCTTTGTCGTCCAAAACTACTGCACTGTACTTGTACGCCCACACACTGTCATGTACTGAGCTTGATGAGCTTGATTCTACGCTGTTCGCTCTTCCGCGCTACATTATGTGGCGCCAGACATTACTGCAATGTACGCCCACGCGTCTCCCAACTAGTACAGGGCAGTATAGCTGATATCAAATGCCGTCAAACGTTCTGAAGACGTCGTTGGCAGAGCGACTGCTCGTA